GTGAAACCTGTTTTTCTTCAAATTTTCAGTCGAAGTCTGCTCTCTTCTCAATGAAACAGACTGCAGCTTTAAGGTCAAATCAATGGTTCTGATACAGGCTGTTGATGAACATCTTTTATCGTGCATTATCACCACCAACCAGTAAGGGGTGTACCACTTTCCTCAGGGGGGTGTACATTCCTAGCCTATAATAAGGACCAAGTGCAAATCAAAAATTCTAATCAAAAAATTTATTTACGTTGTTTGTTAACTTACCATTATATATTTAAACAGCAATGAATATGCTTTTTTTTGGCATCTATCAGACCTCAAACCCACAACCATAGTCCTGCAAGGCAACAGAGCTAACAACAACTAAATGTAGTTAAGTGAAAATGATGGATGTCAGTAAATTCAAAACTGAAAGTTTTTAAAGTATCACTTTTAAGCATGAATGTCATCTACACCAGATTTAACCAGTGTTGCAACACAATCTGAGGTCCATGTGACTCAGATTGGGTTACAAAACAGACCTCAGACCCAGTCTGTCGACAAGGTCTTCTGAATAAGTGTCATGGAGCAAAGAGAACAAATCACTTGATGTGTCAAAACTTCCTGTTTGCACAAACAAGACATGCTGCTCAGATCAGAGGATTTTTATTTTTTTAGATTTTCAAAAGCCATTTCTATTATTGACCAACAGAATACATTAAATGATCCGACTTGCACCTGATTTTTGACAGAATGATGTTTCTTTCCTCGATTTTTCTAGTTTTATTAGGTTCCATAATAATTCAATAAGGTGTTTTAATTTCATGTCAGATTTAAATTTAATTTAAAACTTAAGCTGAATGTACAGGAGGTGCTTCAGGCTGTTTCACAGATAACGTGTTCGTATAATGAGGCACATCTTGTCTTTTGTTTGTGGAAATAGTTTTTAAGGCAGCCACTTGTTCAAACTTAATGCAATCTTAAGTTTGTGTCAAATATTGGGTAAAACTCTACATTGTAAATTTAACATTAAATAAAATAATTCATTTTAAAGAATCATGTGATTAACTAAACCAGCTGGTAGCTATAACTTAAGAATGTCATTTAAATTGAAATCTGGCTATAAAGTTAGGTTGTACTCTAAATGAACTGGAGTGATTAAACTGGATCTCTCTGCCTTAAGTTTGACTTTAGCGCATTTGAATTTTTTGAAACTTCACTGAATTAATTTCACTAGAAAATTACTTTCTTAGCATCTAAACCTTAAGAGTAAATTCAGTGTAATCTATAAAAGCTTCCATTGTGTCAAAAGTTTCATTTTTGTTTCTTTCTCATACATCAGCTTACAATTGCCCAACATGTAAAATGAGCTTTCCTCTATTAACTGTAGTTTCCTTTAATGGTGCGTTCACACCAAGTTCTTAGTTTCAAAAAGGTGCCAAAACCTAAACTTGGACGCTTGTGTGTTTTGAAGTCAGACGCTGTGCAGGCATGTCCAAAGTCAGTCCTCAAGGGCCGCTGTCCTGCAAGTTTTAGAGGTTTCTCTGCTTCAGCACAGCTGATCTAATGATTACAGTTCAGCAAAAGGCTGTTAATCAGCTATCAATGGAAATCAGCTGGGCTGAAGCAGAAAAACCTCTAAACCCTCCATACTCATGTTTCTTTGCACCATAGAGAGATGCTTAGCTTTATTTTATTTTTAAAAAGTAGTTTCAACATGTTTTTAAGCGAGAAAGTCCGCCCAAAAATGTAATCTGTACTGTCGAGATTATGATCTAACTAAGATGTTCTGTTCTTGTTGGGAGGAGCAGACTCCGCATACGGGCGGGGAAACAGTGCTCCCAGTTAAAGCTCCCTGAAGCCGACCAGACTGATGGGTTTTTGTATTGGCTCAAAGGGAATATAAACAGTTTTTTAGGTTTGTGGTAAGAAGTGCAACTTCCAGATTACCATACTGGATATGTTTTGCCACCAGGTTTTAAAGTTCTTTAGTCATTGTAGGTATTTTTAAACAGTTTCTCCATAGTTAAGTAAGAAAATGATTTAGTGGCGTTTTAACGATCACAGCACTTTCTCTTTCTTGTGCATAAATAAACCATTTTTTGATCAAACCAGAGAAGTTCATTTTTCATAGTTTTATGTTGAACTCTCTAGAAGCAGAGATCACAGCCTGATGTAGCGTCTCGATAAGGTCCTGAATCAGTTTCTGTGATTGGTAGATGCTCTGCGTCAAGCTGAAAAACTTAGTGTTTGTTGCTGTAGACCAGGGGTGCTCAAGTCCAGTCCTCAAGAGCTTCCATCCTGTAACTTCTAGATGCATCTCTTCTGTAACACACCTAGATCAAAAAGCTCAATTCCCTCATTTAGCCCAGCAGAAGCATGGCAACGAGCCACTCATCTGATTCAGGTGTGTTAAAAACTGTTGCATCAAAAGGTTGCAGGTTAGTAGCTCTTGAGGACTGGACTTGAGCACCCCTGCTCTAGACCCTTGAACACTTAAAACTTGATGCTTTTAACACTGTAACTGCAGCATGACTTGCCGTTCCCGATGCTCAAACTGAGCCTTTGGACCTCTGGATCTCCACAAAGCCGTTTCTAATAGACTTTGCATGCAAACCACAAGCCCTGATGGCTAAAACGGTTTGGCTAAAACGGTTTGGTGTAAAAAGACCATAAAGGCTGACTCATAATTGGC